TCCAACCCTTGCTGATGAAGGTAAGGTTTTTGGATAATCCTGCATCATGCACTCCAGACGGGTGGATGACTTAAAGGCAGTTTTACTGGCATCTTTGTATCTGCATCAAGAAAGAAACAATGTTTCTTCTTAAGTTTCTCCGGGCACAATAAGGCCAACTTACAATATGTCACAAACATAGTCAGTGGCAGAGGCAGTACTTTGGATTAACGAACTCCTTTATAGCTCCTCCAGTTTTCTTCAGCTCCTCAAGGTACGGACCAAGTTCCATAATCAACTGCAACAATGACAATATAAGATAGGTAGGTAAAAGTCAGGAACCTATTAAGATGACCATATAGACAAATTAAGCCGACAGATAAGTCAAGGCATTCAGTTTATAGTTTGTAAACGAATGATCCATGTACTGGACCTACTGTTAACAACCAATATACAACTACATATACTGCATTGTTGGCCTATATATGATAGAGAGGATATAAATGGCTTGTGATAGGATTCCCCTCTTCTCTATATAAGATTAGGACACCATCTCAATTTTCTATAACATCATCCGATAATAGTGTTAAGTGCGCAGGTTGAAGCAGGGTACTGTCATGTATTATAATAGCTCAAGCAAACCCAAAAGTAGTAGAAAACAAAAAGAATACAGGAGCAACAAGGAGCACTTATTTATCCTCTACATTCTGCAGATATACTTATTAAGAAGATGCATAAGAATTACCTGGTTGATGTTTCCTGGAAAAGGAGAATAGCCAGTTTCACAGTTAACATCTCCATCAGGATTCCCAGTTGCTCTCAGCAATGGGTCAAGTTGATTGTACTCTACATTGATCACCATTGACCTTCCTGAAACATCAGTATCATTTGAACATAATTAAGACCTGGATCAATGATGTATCTTTGAGACAAATATTAGATACAGGATTCACAATTTGATGATGTATGTATGAGCAAGTCTGGATCAATATTTGTACTTGGGTGGAAACTGGACCTCAAAGGTTCACATACTCTAAGAGTACTCGGTCATCACATATGGTCAGTTCAACATAATGTGCCTCACACACATCACCATGACTAAAACCTCATAAAAAATACACTTCAAATCCAACTCAGCTATGTATTTAGGCTAGGAATTTACCGTCTGTATGAGTAAGCTTAGCGATTCCTCCAATAGCTTCTTTAGCTTTGCGAGGAACAGAAAGCGAGTTAACATGATACCCTTTCGTGGCACTGACTCCCAATGAAGCTGGAATTGCCTGCAAATAAGTGTTTCTTTCTTTCACTAAAGCACAAATAACACTTCTTGTTGCATGTACACGAACAACTTTTGATAGAATATTCAATTAAACAAGCAAACCTTGAAGAGAAGTCCATTGGTGTCTTGAAAGAATAGAACCCACCTCACACCAACACGCTGCCTAAGAAGACAGGAAATAAATCAAATCAATTACATATGTTTCTGCGAGTACAATGCAATTTGCTAGTACTAGTGACAAGAAAATTTAATGAGTGAGCAAAGTCTTCATAAAGAAAGGGTCGAGAAATGGAAGGTAGAGGGCCAGAAAAACACGTTTAGTAATAAAGAACCCTTCCTCTGCAGTCTATGTGGACATAAAAGATGAGCACAAATGCAAGGTCGACTAGTTCTAATAAACAAAATATAAAAGATAAGGTGCGCCAACAATATTATCGCATAATCCAAAAAGATAAGGTGCAGACATGATTAAAAAAACATGATAGGCATCAAACAAAGGGCAAACAAATAAACCAAGGAAGAGCAAGAATGGAACAAACGAATTCAGAAATGGCAGAAGCAATAAGCAATACCATTCTTCAAGTACCCCACTTGAGTAAAGAAGCGCATGAACATCACCATGACCGTGAGGTTTTGTCTGTGATTGAGCAGAAAATATATAAGAAACTATAGTAATACCAGACCTAGGGTACTAATACAAGAGACAGCCACCTGAATTCTGAACTTGTTTTGAGGATCCAAAGCAAGCCTAGCATCATTATCTTCTAAGCATGCAACTTTCTCCTGAGGATGGGATAGTTAAACAAGGTTGTTAATTTCCCAATCTAAACAGACCTCATATACCACAGTTATACCTGTTTAAGAAGTTTTATCTGAGCAGGTTTCATCCCAAAGTATGAGTTAGATTCCAAAAGCTGCATTGTACGTGCATGTGTGTCATCTGATGTCATGATCGCAAACGGAATGTCCCTTTTAGATTGACCTACATTGTGAAAGGAAAGAGGTCACACGACAGATCAACACCCGCCAATTTGAACCTTCAAATGGCATTTAAGGGGAAGATAATGTATTAAAAAATAGAGTAGCTTAAATTGGGTGATTCTAGAATCTTAACAAACTATAGAAGCTAAACTACCAGCATAACACATAAGTTCAACACACATGTGATTTACTCATGTATTCGGTCTCTCAGAAGACAGACATGTTTTAGAACAGTGGGAACGAGGCTTCCATGAATAGTCAAGAGATTCATATATCATAAGCAAAAACACTAGGATAGCCGTAACATTCAATCAAGTCCAATTAAACTTTAAGTAGGTAGTCAGTGGTTGAAACTTGAAAATACACAAATTTTGCACAAACCTCCAGTGACTTTACAGCTAGCTTCCTGAAGGGCGAGAACGTTTTCAATGTAGTGCTGTAAGAAACAAGCTCCTGTTGTAGTCTCTCGTGGAAGAGCCACCTGCCATACATAAGGACATAACCAAATCAAACCGGCTGGTCAACAAATAGCTTCAATGACTTCAACACAACCATCTTTCTTTTATTTAACTAGAAGGTTTCTGTTTGTCTTTGGTAAAGTGAGAAAGATCCTGAACTGTACCAGGAACCTGGTTCACTCAATGGCTATAATAGTTTAAGAATTTCAGAGCTGAAAATTGAAGAAGAAACTGCAAACTAGAAGTGAGGAATGAATGTGTGCAAGGTTAAAGCAAGTAGGGAACATAGCACTGTAAATTGAGTACAGTGCATATTGTGGGTGGGGAGGGATAACAGAATCTGAGTTCCAAATATTACCAAAATGTTGGAGAAAATGTTCTTCACAGATGCAGAACGAAGCCCAAATTCCTACAAGGATTTACCATAGAATTCAGTGATGCAAAGAGAGAATGTCTACCTTAATACCATTGTAACCAAGGCGCTCCCCAAGCCCGCCAGCAACAAGCACAAATGCTGCATTCTGAGCTTCCTTCACACCTGCCTCCTCAAATTTCATAAATGTTTCGTCACCATAGCTCAGGTTCTCTCCTGTTGGAACCTGAAAATAGGCATTCGACTTTACTAACATCCGCTTAAAATAGAGAAATGGCGCCAATTACTTGAAATTGAAAACAAACTGATATTCATAATAGCTAACATCAGCCTATCCCATTATTTGTACTTTGTAGATATAGTCCATTCCCATTATTGGGGATGTTGAAAGGAAAGCAACAAGATGCTGTCAACTTACACTATATGCCATGCACAGCATCTAGATAAGTTTCACTAACTAACGCATCGAATGCACGGCAAAGCCAGTCATCTGATTTCATAATGGAGCATTCATTTTTTTCATGCAAGAGAAGAAATAAGAACAGAAAGTGGCAGAAACAAGGGTGGAGAAGACCAAAATACAACAAGGGTCTCATGTTAATGCTTTCAAAAGCTTATCACAACACTCAGAAACGCCTTCAGTAACTTCAGGTGCCATAGACACATAGAATGATACTATCCAACCTTTAAGTGCTAACATAACAACAGAGGTTCTGCCTACAGTTTCCTCTTGGTCAGAACAACAATCTACTAACCCTATTTTCACGTCCATGCGTGTGTTGAACAAGTGTCTTCACAATCTTGTCCTACAAACTACAGAGGACATTTATTACCATTTTCGTGAAGGTTTAGAGCACCGGTATACATAATCTATATTTTCATAAGCACAGGATTCATGCACCAGCCTCTACCACCCTCCTTTTATTTTATCTTCTTCGATCATGTGAGCTTAAATGCTTAGTAATTCATAAGCAAGAAAATCACAATCTCACTATGAAATCATTTGTTTGTGAGATCAAAGTATTAGAGACATTCTTCCACAAGTAATAAAAAATTTAGCCATCCCAACAATAACTGTAAGGCAAATTTCATGTAGAAATAATTAAAGTAAATTCCAAGACTCATATAATCTAATCTTAAGCATTTGTTGGCCTAATCATGCAATGATTTTAAATCACTGAACTCCCCAGCAAATAATAATAGTAATTGCAGCAGCGGAACCATGGAGTCTATCTGGATCAACTTACTGAAGGTGTAAACCCATCGAAAGGGTTCTTCCCCGTTTTGGAGTCAGCCAAGAGTCCCCTGGCTGTTTTGATATAAGATGCTAGACCTCCCGGATAGCTTGAATTCAGCCGCGCCACCTAAGCGGAACACCGAAAACACAACCGTGGATTTGATGCTAGTACAATTTTGGACAAATAAAAGCCATTAAAACCAGAAAAAGGAAATAAAATTGGAGACCTGATCGAAGAATGCTTTTTTCTCGCCATCGTCCACCCCTGACTCCGGCCAGTGGCTGAACAAATGACTCTGTCCCATCTCCACAAGCATTTTCGCCAACTCAATCTAGGATCCGGCAACCACCATTTCCACAGCATTAAACCACAAATATCGTGGTGAATGGTAGAAGAGAAAATCAAATCGCATTTTCGATTGATAGAAATGAGAGCAGGAACCAGCCAACGCAGTAAAGAAACAGAGTCTGCCGAAGATTCTCACCTGGTCAGGTGACAGAAGCGAGAGGTTCTTGTGCAGGTTAGGGACGGAGGACGCGAAATCGCCATTGATGCCGAGCTTGGAAATGCCTTCCGTCGCGGATTCCATATCTGGATGAATATTTCTGCGGTTATTGGTTCGGGGAACGGACGGAAAACGGATCACAGATAGAAGGGAGGGAGAGGAGTGGATTTATATAAGAAAAGGAAAGTCAGTAGGAAGAGAGCGATAGAGCAGTTTCAAAAAATTGCGTAGAGGTTACGTGTCGGATTGGGACGCTGACGCCGGAGCTGACCGCTGTGTTCTTCATCGGCTCGAACCGTTCCGATCGGATCGTACGAACCAACCGAGCACCTGTATCGGTAATCGTACTTGGGCCAAGTTCTGCTGGCCCAATGACTAGAGATGGGCTGAGCAAGAATCGCTCTCTCGGCCCAGCTTCCCCCTCCGCCATCCCTCCGCTAAACGGGGTCCCTTCTCCTTCCCTTTCTTCCTGGCGAACGTATGAGCAAGCAAGCCGGGAATTCAAAAAATTTCGCAACTCAGAAGGCAAAGGGAAGGTTAGAAGAACGTAGACCTTGTTAGGAATTATCAGAATACAACTCTTCAGATAGATCCTGCTGTAGGATTTGCCAGGAGGTCGAAGGAGAGGCATTCTTCTTCAGCTTCTGGGGTTCACTTCACTAGAGTAAACAGCTGCCAGGGAGAAGATGGTGAGGCTCACCGCCGACTTGATTTGGAAGAGCCCTCATTTTTTCAACGCCATCAAAGAGCGTGAATTGGATCTTCGAGGTATATGCCAAACTCTGCTCTGCGCTCTCCACCCTTTACTGTCCATATGCGGGAGTTTTTAGGGTTCTGCTCTTTACGCTACTCCATGTGGGTTTAGGGTTTTGCTTCTCGCATGCCACTCTCTGTGAACACGTTTAAGTTGTGTACTTGTTTACTCTGAGGAACTCTTCTCTTTCGCATTTTGGCTATCTCAGGTAACAAGATCCCTGTCATTGAGAATTTGGGTGCTACCGAGGTAATTTTCTTTTTTCTCCAACTCCTTGCTGCTCGTTTCTTTTTATACAGGATACGTAAAGGGTTAGTTAGGAATGCTAATCTTGGCTGCACGTTGCACTGAAGTATTGTCAGCATAGTCACTGATTAAGCGTATGCCAAACTTGAGGTTTACTAGTTACTCAAATTAGAGCATTCCATTGACCATTTGTGATAGTCCTCAAGCCTGCTTATTGTGAGAAAGCTAATCTTGGTTTTGGGTCAATTGCAACTTGCTTCGTCACATTCTAGTGTGTGATTGAAGCATATGCTAAAGTTGGAGTTATATAGTTCGTAAAAGTTGAGTCTTCCCCATATTTTTTGTAGCTAACAAGCCTGCATAGTGTCATTGTGATTCCTGCTTCTGAGGAGTCTCTTTTATTTCTTTCAAATCGCTTCTCTATGCCATGTGGGACCAGTTAGCTTTACCCGCTGCTGGGGTCATTCAGCTGTTATGTTTGAATGTACTCTGCTACTTTCTTTGATAGGTTATGCTACAGATACTGAGTTCAAGCTCTCTGCAATAAATGAGTCCCTCCATTTGTTTTGCAGGACCAATTTGATACAATTGATTTGTCTGATAATGAGATTGTCAAGCTGGAAAACCTGCCATTTCTTAATCGCTTAGGCACTGTGCTACTGAATAACAACAGGATTACCCGTATTAGCTCTAGAATCGGAGGTAATGTTTGAAACTTCGAACGGATGTTAAATGTGGTGCACGTGTACTGAAGTAAACATCTTACTTTAAGTGTGGCCAATGTTCCTCAATTATTATGTTGTTCTTCTATGTTACAGAGTTCTTGCCGAAACTGCATTCATTAGTTCTGACAAACAACAGACTTGTCAATTTGGTGGAGATCGATCCTCTCGCCTCTCTTCCAAAACTGCAGTTCCTCAGTCTTCTAGACAACAACATCACAAAAAGGCCCAATTATAGGCTGTATGTAATTTTCAAACTAAAATCCCTTCGAGTTCTTGATTTCAAGAAAGTGAAAGCAAAGGTGAGGTCATGTTCAGATACTGTATGTCTCAGTTACTTTTATGTATCTATACTCGTATTTCAAGTAAAGAATCCATGAATGTTCCTTTCCCATTTTCCGTCCTGGCTTTATTTGTTTCATTTTTTAACTAGGCAAAGCTTATAGATTCCATTGTTTACTCCTCCGAATCTCTTTCCCTCTTGGCTTCTATAACACTTCTCCTGCGGCGGATTCTCTTTTCGTCCTTGGTCCTGAACGCTCAAGGAAGATTTGGAACCCCAACCTTTACCCTTTTCAAATAGTCCAATAGGCATTTTCTCTACCATTTCTTACGGGAGGCCATGACTTTTTATTGATTTTGACGATTGGAGGCTTTCAAGGCAATATAGTCAGACAGTGTATCTGTGCTTCCTCCAGCAGGGGATAAAGCCTTTCCGAAGCATACCTTCAAATTCATTTGCTGGTTCTTTTTGCCTATACTTGGTTGAAATGTGATTTGATGCCCTCTTGAATTTTATTGCTCATTCTGTAGATCATCACTCATGAATAAGTTAGAAATTGGAAGTCAGTCCTTAAGTAGTCACCTTCCATAAAGTTGGGGACTTGCTAATTTACAGTGCTTGTTTCACATCATCTACTGTTGAAGATCGGCTCTGTAGCTGCTTTATATGTACTTGCTATTTGCCTTATTCCTGCATCTGTTATCACGTTTGCATTTTGCTGATAAAAATGGATTTGGATGTTTAGGAGAGAGCAGAGGCAGAGATCTTATTTGCATCTAAGGAAGTAGAAGAGGAAGCTAAAAAAGAAGTTGTTAAGCCTTTCACCCCTGCTGAGGCTCCTATTGATGTGGATGTTGCAGGGGAACAACAGAATGCAAAGGTGGTAGGACCCACACCGGAACAAATCATAGCTATTAAGGTACTGTCCTTGAAAAAACTACTTGAAAATGCCTGGCTATATTGTTTCTATTTGCATCTAGTGTAATGTTCTACTAGTTGATTTACTTGGTTGTGCTACGTGTTTCCCGAACAGGCTGCCATTGTGAATTCTCAAACTCTTGAAGAAGTTGCAAGACTAGAGAAGGTATACTTTCTATTTAGCCTGATGTGGTCATCACAACCGATAATTTCCGTCTCCACCCGTGTTATTATTCAAGTTAACATTTTATCTATTGGTGAATGATGGCAGGCATTGAGCACGGGGCAGCTTCCAGCGGATTTGAAACTTTTCGATGAAGTGCCCCAGTCAGACACTAGTGCAGGAGAAAAAGACGAGGAAATGACCACTGATGAGATCCCTACTGGACCTACAGATATGGATCAGGTAGGTCTTCTGGTTTTCATTTTGTCCGTGCAGGGATTATTGTCACCGTTGTGATTAGTTCTGTTTTGTAATGCCACACCATCTCTTTTCTTCCGTGTCTCAGGAATAGGTTGGTTATTGGGCTGTGCTGGTGAAGAAAGGAGATTGCCTCGGCGTTTTCTCGAGCCTGATCTATAGTCGTTTTTTGGCTAGAAGGGTTTACATTACAAAATGTTTTTCAGACGCAGGAGATAATGTGACGAATCCCTAGTTGTAGGGTCGTTGAGATGAGGCATTTCGTCTCTGTTTAAGGAGGTATGGGAAGAATTGATTCTCACTTGTACAACTACAACCCTTTGTCTGTGGGGCTTTGTAGTGGCTAATGAGCCAAATCACAATGAAGCTTGCCTCAGAATCTAGCAAGAGAATTTTGGTTCCGACTTTTAAAGTTTGTAGATTTGTCTGATCTGGTCACGAGACTTTTCATTTTGGGTGGGTAAATTGCAAGGTTGTCATTGAAAGTGCTAAAAGAATTCACATTTGGTAGCTGAAAGTATTTTATTTCATTCGTGGTTACCGAAAATGGTTAATATTTCACGTTTGGTCACTCTCCGTTAGTATCCGTCAGCCTCCGTTAACACCGTCAGTTTTTTGCTGACATGACTAACAGAAATGCTGATTCATCAAATTTTAACCGACCACATCATAAAATTTGACCCGCCATGTCATATAACCCGTCACATAAGACCCGGTACATAAACCAACCTAATTCAATCCCCACCCGACCTGAGCCTCTCTTCTTTTTCCTTGTTTCTCCTTCCTCTATGAACTGTCGCCTCTATTCCCACTTTGATTATTTGTGATTTCTGATCGAAGGAAGGACAAGAGAGTGAAGAGCGTCGGCGACGAGTTGCGAGAGGATGACGGCTTTCGATCTCCCTCCTTCCAGCTTTATCTCTCTCACCGACGGTGCTCCTCTGCTCTCACTACGTGCCTCTGTCTCTCTATTAAGGTCAATCCATCACCGACTTTCCATTCGGAGAAAAAGACCGAATTAAAACTTCGCATCGCCGCTCCTCGAATCGCTAGAGATGAGAAGGTGAGACGACGATTGGGGAAGACCTCGAATTGGGAAAACAGATAGTCGGAGGATTAGAGGGCGTTGTTGTGTTCGGAGGATTGGAGGGTGGAGAGGGGCAAAAGCAACCAACATCGATCTGGTTCTCAGCAAAAAGTCTCGTCCAAGTTTTAATCCTAGATCTTCGTCTTCTTGCTATCTCTGGCCGCCCATCGCTTGGGGGAAGATTTGGGCGGAGAGCCGCCATTGAGCTTTGTGGGGGAGTTGACAGGAGGGATTGGAAGAGAGAGAAGGGATTGGAAAAGACTGTTGGAGCCTCCAACTTGGAGGTCATAGAGGAGGAGGAGGAGGAGGAGGAGGAGGAGGAGGAGGAGGAGGAGGAGAGGAGGGCCAAGGCCGTGATGGTGGCATGCGGGGATGGTAGGCGGCGGCGGTGGTGGGAAGGTAGGTGGGGTCTGGTCGGTTCGAGTAGGGTTGGGTTAGGGGTTAAAAAAATATAGGGTTAGGTTATGCTGAGGGTCTGATGTGGCGGGTTAAAATTTGGTGAATCAGCATTTCTGTTAGTCACGTCAGAAAAAAACTGACAATGTTAACGGATGCTGACGGAGACTAACGGAGAGTGACCTAACGTGAAATTTTAACCACTTTCAGTAACCACGAATGGAATAAAATACTTTTAGTGACCAAACATGAATTTTTCAACACTTTCAGTGACCAACTTTGCAATTTACCCCATTTTGGGTAGGTGGGCAATGGATTAGACATTTCTGTCCACTTCATAACAATTGGAAATAGGTGTCACTGCGTCAGTCTGAAAGCTTAGAGCATCTCCAAAGGAATTTATTTGTAATTTCATTGGTACCTACTTACAGAGGCGGATCTGAGTCAACATAATTTGATATTTTGGCATTATAACCGCAAAGAAAAGCTTCTTGAATCAATTAAGAAGTTTCTATTCCACATGTGGCTAAGTCAAGTCCTTTCCAATACTTGATTTAAACACATCAATCTAACATTTCAAACTGGGAAAGGGTTTTTAATTAGTGACAATGGTAATTTGGGTATTATGAAAAATTATGAAATATACAAACCGGACTTACAAACAATACACACTAGAATAACAAAACATACAAATAGATTTACAAACAATACAAAAATACGAACTAGACCGACAAACAATACAAATCATACAAAATGCAAAACAACCAGGCTGACTTTGCAGACTCCATCCCTATATAGAGGGGTTCCGTCTCAAAGTCACCCCGATTGTTTTTTAGACATACAAACATTACAAACATCAGGGACAAAAATGACAAACTAGACCGACAAACCATACAAAATGGAAAATCACTCGGGTTGACTTTGGAGGCTCTATCTCTATATAGAGGAGTTTCGTCCAAAAGTCAATCAGGGTGTTTTTTAGTCATAAAAACATTACAAATATGGTTGAAAAAAATGACAAGCATGATGGACAAAAATAAAAAACCTTATAAACATTAAAAAATAACAAAGCTTACAAATATTACATAACAAATCGACAAACATTACAAAACATACTAACAGTACAAGATGTCACTACTTACAATACAAATCTATAAACTTGTATTACAAAATAATGAATACAAAGTATAAAAATCATAACATAAAATATACAAACTAGACAAACAAACATTACAAATTACAATAATAGATAAACATTACAAATTAGTCGCATAAAAATTACAAACATAATAGATAAAATGACAAACTAAAATGATAAACTATACAAACTGAATCGCTACAAACATAACAAACTAGACTTACCAACATTATAAAATAGTTCGACAAACATCACAAAGTTGGCTTTGCCGCCGAAAAATCCCGCATCGGCAGAAAATCCTCTCTGCCGCAGTCACCAGAAGTCTCTCTCTCTAATAAGTTGTAATTGAAAGTTGCACTAAAGAGGAGTTTCCCTGGCTGGCAATGGAAAGTTCCCTGGCCGGCGGAAAGGGAAGAGACGAGACAGAATTGCAAAGTTCCCTTGCCGGCGACGGGAAAGTTCCCTCGCCGTGGGAGGAGAAGAGACGGGACGGAGAAAAAATCATTTAATAGTTAAAAATTAAAAGAATCTTACCACAATGTCCTTCATTTAATTAGATTAATTAGAACCATCAGATTTTAATGAGGTTGAAGGCCTAGGATTCACTTAGTCACATGAGTAAGGGGACCTCCCTTAGTCACCTGATCTTACCCCCTACTTCCATCTCTACAACTTTTCTTATATTTGCTTGACTTGAACTTTTTTGTTCATATTTAACATTATGGCCAATCTTTTCGAAATATAACATTGTCGCATGAACTAACCCTAAACTTTACTAAATGGGCCAAACCCAAGGGTTGATCGTTATGACTGACGGTAAAAATCATTGACTGACGGTGACTAACGGTCAACCCGCCACGTAACCTCCAATTCAACATCTTTTAACTTAAAATATTAAATTTTTTGACATATTACCATTTTCTATTTAGTTTGACCCAAATGAAAAAAAAAACTTAAGCTCCCAATCCATTCGCCTCATCTTCTCCACCTTGAAGCTCGCCTTTAACTCCTCTGCAACTCTCAAATTCGCCTCACCGTTGGAAACCCTCTGCTTCGAGATTCGCCGCTAGATCCGCCATTGCCTCGATCTAATCCCGCTGAAACGTCGTTTCCTCGTGGTAGTACATACTCAAAACCACAATCTCCTTCGCCTTCCCGCTCCTTTGAATCGTCGTCGGAAGCAGCTCTCTCGTTCTGATTCTCAGGTCTTGGCTGGTCTCAACAGCGGCTGTTTGGCTTCACTTGTGCATGTAGGGGTGGTTATTGAGTCCACACTTTTGGTTTTACCCGAAATCGGACCATATACCAGGATCGGATAACAAACAATTCGATCCCATCTTCGGGCTTAGATTTGAGGTAAAAAAAAGTTTGGGACCGGACCGGAAATTGAATAAAGACCGGATAAGAGAGCCCAAGACCCAAAACTTAACCAACTCCTCACCCTTTCAGTCCCTAGGACACTCAAAATCCCACAATCTCAATATAAAATCAAGACCGAATTGGGACCAGGTCGGATCAAGACCGGATTGTATCCAATCCAATCTTTGGTCCTTATATTCCCAAAAAGACCAAACTGGAACCGGATCGATTTGGGTCAATTTAACCAGACCGGATCATATAGTCACCCCTATGCGCATGCATGCCTCACCATTCAATATAGTCTTTCCCTTACAATTTCCACCACCAAAAATCATTTCCCTCCAATTTCCCTCCAATCCATCGCCTCTATGGAGATCGATGGCGACAACGGCTACAAAACAGAGCTCCACCGTGACTCCATCACCGTTCTTGATAGAAGCAACAACTTCAAAATCGATGATAGAACTGTCTCGCACCGCCACATTCAGTTCCACTTCAATGAGGTCGACAGATGAGGAGAATACCCGACACTCGCAGGAAGTAACCAATCTCGGTCGCTGACTAGGGTTTCGTGTCATGTCCTCGAGAAGAACACGGTCTTGGTGCGAACTTCCGGTGAGGAAAATCTTTGTTTAATTTAATTATAATAATTCCAAATTAGTAATATGAGGAATTTAGGAATTTTTTTAAGTTTATTCAAGCTGAGTTGGCGATGAACTCTTGAGTTTGGTCAATTTAGTAAAGTTTAGGATTAGTTGATGCCACGATTTTATATATGAAAAAGATTGATCAGGATGTTTCTTCTTTCTTTTTTTTTTTTTGTAAAAAGATTGATCAGGATATTAAATATGGGAAAAGTTCAAACCAGACAAACATATTAATCTTAAGAAAATACAATATCTCAATTTCATCCTACCTATATCAATGAAATTCCTTTGCAATTTCAATGGGTGGAATCATCACATTAGTTTAATATAATCTATACACTATTTTCATAATTTTAATTCCTTAAAATATATAATAAGGATAACGAAGAGTTCCACCTACGAGTCCCTTTGAATTGCAATAAAAATTGTATATGATATAAATTTCCACCCTACATCACACATCAATGTCATTTAAAGATATAATTGCATTCCTTATCACTTGCCATCAATGGCGGAGCTATGGTAATGACAGGGGAGGCTATAGACCCTCGTCAACTCTCAAAATTCCGTTTTGTAATGTAAAAAACGATTATTACAAACCAAATCATCTTTCTCTTTTGCGAATTTGTCTTCTCTCTATTGCCAAAGTTTCATTCAATGCTTTTGTACATTAAATAATCGTATTATATTTCGTGTTTAGTAAAAGTATAAGTAAATTTTGTAATAAATTGGCAAAATATAGTAGTTAATATGGCGTTAGTCCTCCCTCACCAGTTCGAATTCTCTGTGTAAAATTTTAGTCTCCCTCATTCAAATTTCTGGCTCCGACACTACATACCACATAAACTTGCAAGTCTCTAGAATTGCTCAAGTGGAGATGCTCTTCTAATTAGCTTGGTTGACTATTAAGTTATAAGAGAAGCCTGCGGTGTCATAAAGAGTCCTTAAGCTAACTACATTGGGAGCATCAGCAAGGGAAATGTTGAGAAATGTGAGTATGTGTAGAGAAGGAGTAGCACTATAATGGTTGAACAAATTAGTTATTGGCACTAGAGGAATGCTAGTATTTTATTTTCCTCATATTGATATTAGCATCGGCTTACTATCGAGTTGATATAATTATGACTCATTATCCACTCACATTCTGTCTTCGGGTTAGGTTGGTTGGGTAGCGAATGAGTGGGGTTGGATTGTGGAATAATTTGCAGAACAAATTCTTCAACTAGCCATTAAAAAAATTAACTAACATTTAGAATAAGTTCATAGCAGATTAATAAGACTAGCAATTTAGATTTTAGACACTTCCCATTTTGTCTCCTGTGGATCTTGTAGTATTTGCATCAAATTTTTCAGTAGTTCATCAACCAAATATGTAGAGAAATTTGACTCGTTTTGTGACTTTGATACAATTATTAATTTATAGTTTCTATCTCAAT